GAGGTACCGAGTGGAAACCCATCATCTAACAAGTAATAACATCAACAACTTATATAAAAGGGAATGAAATGAGAAAGAAAGGTCTACTCTAGAAGAAAGAGGTGGTTCTCTAAAAGGTAGCAGAAAAAAGAAGAAAAGTACTCTCAATATATAAAAAGACTTCAAAGATCTGCAAGCCTGCGTTTTATAAATTCCTTTTGTAGCTCAAGCACCCTTTCACTTTCATTGTTATAGCTCTATCACATTGCATGTAGTATGATTTCTTGTATAAACTTCATTTCATAAACACTTTGTGCACTTACAACCTTGCCCCATTGCAGGTTAAACTTGCCCATATATGTTTAAACTATTGAATTTTTCAGGTCGACGGGCCGAGAGCCCCACTCCAACAACACCAATACTATCATCAACTTAATTATTACCACACATCAGCAATCACGTGGAGCCAAGTCGAGACCCACCCAACACTTGGGGCCAAAGGGGATCCACCCAATCACGTGGCAATACGGGCCTATGTGGAGCCAAGTCAGGATTCACCTATCGCGAGAGGCCAAAGGTGACCCACCCAATCACGTGGTAGTACAAGCATGTCCCCTGACTGTGATACCATGTTGAATTTTTTAGGTCGATGGGCCGAGAGCCCCACTCTAACAACATCGATACTGTCTCCAACTTGATTATTACCACATGCCCAATGTTAGGTGTGTGATTTTATTACAAAAGACCTCAATATAAGTTAGAGTGAGTTAATCCTATTTAAACTCTTATTTTTCTTTCCCTCTGGCCGATGTGGGATTCAACATAAACTTTGTTTATTTACTTTTATTTGTCATTTATTTTCAAGTTGTTATCTCTTTTCTACAGTTTATTGTGCTTTTGATTAACATTTGACAAGTATTTTCGATTTCTTTACTTTCAATCATTTACTTATTCTCTACTTTCTGTCTTTACATTTTCAATGGGGCTTGCAAACTGACTTGGACTACTTCTAATCAGTTTGTGGTTCTCTCTTTACATCGATATAAAGAAAATGTAAAGTTCTTGTTGCCAAGGCATAAAAAGGAACCTAATATGGATTTAACCTCTCTATGACACAATCCTTGATAAGAAGCTCAATTTACTTCATTTTGGGTTAATCGAAAGGGTACATAGATTTCTTGTTCATAATCAAGTGATTTTTTTTTTTATTTTCAACTTATTCAGAAACCAAGAACAAAATTTGAAACTACACAAAATATATCATGTTACTAATTAGCTGGAAGAAACTAATTTTGAGTCTTTTTTTCTTTGTCAATTGCCGAATTATGAGTCAAGTTGTTAGAAATTTTTTTGTCAGAACAAGTTGTTAGACTTAATTTTTTTTTGAGAAACTGAAATAACATTACAAAGAGGATCCTAGACAGATTCTAAAACCATACAAATCAAACTTTATACTTCGGTAATATTATTTTGGAAAATTATGAACCATATAGAAGAATGATCGTAGTTATGACCTAAAGAAGCACACCCATATGCCGCCATACTAGCTTATCGATAAATATAGTCAAGTGTATAATTCGGAATTTGCGGAAGAATTTGGAAACTTATTACAAGTTATTAGAACTTTCATCGAAACGACTTAATACGGTCTAGTGATATTCATCTTCACTTGTAAGTGAGAGGTTTAGTTTCGATTCTCACCAAATGCGAAGTTGAACCACCTTATTGCTAGCCATTGTGAGGCTTAGCCCATTACCCTACCCTCTGAATGTAGATGATATCGTTTGTTCATAAAAGAACTTCCATTGTAACATTAACATTATACATATTCGGACTAGGTTGAGTTTTAACAAACAACTAATGGTAAACTCAAATTACTCAATATATAGGGCCCCTTCATCTTCAACCTACTGTGTCTCGAATTCAAATATTCACCATCCCTTTAGTGTAGTATATGATAACCTTGCTAACCTTGATGTCTGGCTCTACCACTATTGATGGACCAGTGGTCTACTAGTCTCACTTATTTAATAAAACTTAAGCCATTTTTGCAATCGATAGATTCATGTGTGGTTTTATCACAAAGGCTACAGGAAAATTAGAAGTGAGACCATTTAATATAAATTGTGTTTTGTTATGTAAGATGATCGATGTGAAACTTTTTTACTTTATTCAGCCAAAAATGTTTCACTTACCATTGCCATCATCACTATCGCACCACCCCTACCATCCCCCTCCCCCATATTACCACCATATTTCCATGGTTGTCCCACCACCACCCCCCCCCCCTTTGACGGCACCATCACCATTATCGCCACCACACCACCCTACCATCCCCTCCCCTCAAGGCACAACTAAATTTCGGCAACAAATTCTATAATAATAATTTCTAGGGTAAAGTACAAAAAACTACCTCAACTATTGGTGTCACGACACTTTCATATCTCATCTTTTAAAACTGACAATGTCATACCTCATCTTACGAATTTGTGCCAATGTCATACCTCCGTCAGTTTTTCTGTTAATTTCTCAGTTAATTGCTAACGTGGCTTGATCGAGACCCATTTTCTATTAAAAAATTATTAAAAAATCATTTAATATTTTTTAAATATTAAAATAATAAAGAAAAGTTAAAAAAAAAAAAAAAAAACCCAACATCAATTCGTCCCCTTCCCCCCTTCTCTCTCTTCTCCCCATCTTCCTCTTCTTCAACCTTCCTGCAACTTCAACCCGAAAAAAAAAAAAATAAATAAATTTGTCTTCCTCGCTCCCCACCCCCTCTTCTCCCCGCACCCAACCTACCCACCTTCCCACCCACCCTCTGCACCCAACCTCGCACCCAATACCTGCAACCCAAAAAATAAAAAATAAAAAAATCCAGATCTCGTTGAGAACTTGGGCGCAGAGAAAATGGGGGGAATGTATGTGGAGGGAAAAGGGTGGGCACGCAGGGGGATGGACGAACTGGGTATCCGTCCTTTTTTTTTTTTTTTCCTTCTCTCTCTTTTTCTTCTTCTTCTGCAGGTTGGGTGGGGGGGGGGCAGGGACCTTTTTTTTTCTTTTCCTTCTCTCTTCTTCTTCTGCAGGTTGGGGGGGAGGGACTTTTTTTTTCCTTCTCTCTCATCTTCTTCTGCAAGTTGAGCGGGGGGGGGGGAGAAGTTTTGTTGTTTTTTTTTTTTCTTTTTCTGGGGGAGAAGAGAGAGGGTGCCGGGGGGGGGAGGGATTTTTGTTTGTTTGTTTGTTTTTTTAATTTTTTAATTTTCTGTCTGGGTTGCAACAAATAGGGGGAAGAAGAGGAAAGAAGATGAAGATGGGGGAGAAGAGAGAGGGCGCTTGGGGGGGGGGGGTAAGGGACAAATTTTTTTTTGTTTTGTTTTTTTTGTTTTTTTTTCTTTTCTTTTTTCTGGGTTGCAGTAGGTTGGAAGAAGATGAAGGGAGATGAAGATGAGGGAGAAGAGAGAGGGCGCATGGGGGAAGTTTTGTTTGGTTTTTTTTTTTTTTAATAACCTTCTTAATTATTTTAATATTTAAAAAATATTAAATGATTTTTTTTTAGTTTTTAATAATTTTTTAATAGAAAGTGGGTCCCGAATCAAGCCAAGTCAGCAATTAACTGAGAAATTAACAGAAAAATTGACGGAGGTATGACATTGTCACAAATTCGTAAGATGAGGTATGACATTGCCAATTTTAAAAGATGAGGTATGAAAGTGTCGTGACACCAATAGTTGAGGCAATTTTTTGCACTTTACCCTAATTTCTATCTTTTAAAAAATTCTCTTATCTATTTAGAAGATGCGATTATAAGACTAAAGCTCATAGCAAAATGGGTAGATGAAGACCTATGAAGACCTTGAAAAAGACTATAAGAAAAAAAAATTGGAATACTTGGAGCAAAATCAAGCACAATGACATTTTAGAATTTATATAACAAACCACACTTAGTGAAATAAAATTTAGTTGCTATTGTTATTTAAATTTCTTACCCAAACCCAGAATAAGCCAGAGTCATTTGAAACCCTTAGGGTGCGTTTGTTGCACCGGACTATCTCAGACTGGACTAGCTACATGGACTAAACTGGACTGGCTTAGACTAGACTAAGCTGGACTAGCTTAATGAAGTGTTTGGTGTAGTGTCGGACTAATTTATGGACTAAAATTATTTTAAAGCCCAAAATATTTTTTTATCATTTTTAATTTACTTTTACTTTAAAAAACAAAAAAAGTCAAAGATTATATTATAAAATATTATTTTTAATTTACTTTCCTTTCTCTTATCTTCATTGTTTCTATCAAACTCTGCATCTAACCCCTATCTCTCTGCCGTTCTCTTTTCTCCCAATTAGTCAAATCTCTCTCCTCTTTGCCCTCCACTTCTTGCGTTCTCAGCAAATTTGGGGGTTTTTGCAATTCCCAAATTCTCCCCTTCTTTGTGTTTTGGCCAAAAAATGTGTTGAGAAATCGGGTTATTCGTCGTCGAATCTTCAAACAGCTTCTGGGGAGCGGTGAAACTGGCTTGCAGCAAGGCCTGGTAAGCTAACTGGCGGGAAGTGGGGGATTGTGGAGTCAGGGGAGTGAGAGACGAAGGTGACTTAGGGAACGCTTGGATTTCTCGAGACGCTGCAAAACCCAGAAACGGTCTTAGTAGTCCGATGCTTTTCGGGGTCTCTCGCTAAGACCCCCTAGTGCGCTCTTTAGTCCATGCGAATCCCACCTAATCTCATTAAAGTTAGTCCCTTCTGCTAACAAACACTGGACTAGACTAACTCTTAGTCTAGTCCAGTCCAGTGAAAGCTAAAGAGGTCAAACAAACACCCCCTTATTCCTCAAGATTCAATTCCCATTCAAAGCTTTCCTTCCCAATAAAAAAAAAGAAAAAAGGAAAAAGTAAAAACTCAAATTCAAAGCATCCTATAATCACATGACACCTGTAATATGCACTTACGCCTACTTGTCAAAATTACGATCGTTTTCCTCTTCATGTTGGAAAGCGGGAAACTCGTCCCATTTGAATTCAAAACAGCAGAAAAAGCTAAAACCGGAATTCAAACCGATTCCTTTTTATTTTATTCGGAAAATGAAAACGTCGAAATCCAAAAGGCGGATTCAATTTTCTTGACAACCAAAACACGCAGACCCTTTTAAATCCTCCGTCTTTGATTGATTAATTACATTTATCTCGGTCTTTCTTTCTTTCTTTCTTTTCCTCCGAAAGCTTCTGACGTTTATGGGAGGCCAATTTCGCATTGGCGAACAAGAACCGGTACCAGTAACTTTTCCCCATTGTTATTTCATATTTTAATTTTGTGCTTTCTATGATGTGGGTTTCAATTTGTTTTTCCAATTTTGAATCCTGAATTTTGAATTTGTGATTAGAGAGAGATGGATTTCCATGCGATGAAGAGGAAGCAACTTCAATCACTTTGTAAACAGCACGGGATTCCTGCAAATTTGAAGAACACTGAAATGGCCAGCAGGCTCACTTTGCTTCTCAAGGTAATCCCGTCCTAAAGAGAAAAATTCCATCTTTATTATATCCATATCGTATGTTTTCATCTTTCTGATTATTTTCTTTAGTCCTGTTTTCTGCTTGGATGCCGAGAGAATTATTGAGAAGAAAATTCAGGGTTTCATGTTATATTTTCAAGAAGCCCTCAACTCAATTGGGGAAAATGCGTGTGTGTGTATGGGGGTGGTTTATTGGGTTTCAAATTATGAATATAATTTTTCAATTTGTTATTTGGAGGTGATTTCTCTCCTTTTTATGTACTTTATGATGTGGTTTTTTGTTTAATTCGGTAACATTTTTCGTTTTTCGAATTTTTTTTTTTTTGTATAAACAGGAAGATGAAGAATCCATTGAGCCAGTCTGTAAAGATATAGAAGAAAATGAAGGGGAAATTGATTCTGACCTTCGGGCAAAGAAGGTGAAGACAGTGACCTTCAGTCCAGAAAATGAAACTTTTTACTTTGTGGGTACGGATAAAGACTCGGATTCGGATTGCAATTACAATCCAAAGAAGAAACAGCCGCGAAAGAGGAAGACAATGACTGTCAAGCAGGTGTCAGAGAAGAATAAGCATGTTGAGGTTTTCGAAGATTCTGAAGGACTTGAATTATCGGTTGATATAAATATTGTTGAAAAACGAGGTAGAGCTACAAGGTCTAGGGTGCAAAAATCGGTTGAAGGAGGTGCAGAAGCAGTTTTTTCACCTCTTCACAGAAAGAAGAAAACAAAAACTGGGGTGGAGAAGGTTGATATTTGTGATAAACCACCTCTGGAAGTTGAGGTAAATGAAAGACTTGATGGTAATACAGAAAGTGCAAATTTGAGTCATGGGTTGATTCGAAGACAGTTGAGAAGCAGGGTGGTGGTGAGTGAAGATGGTGGAAATTTGAAGGCTTTGAGGAAGAGTCTAGCGCCAAAGGGTTTGAAGAAAACCAAGGAAAATGAAGGCAGTCATGGGGTTCTTTTACCAAATGAGACTTCAGAAGACACTGTTCCTGCAAGAAAAGGAAATGCGACTAAGGTCAAAGTCTCAAGTGTTTTGAATGAGGAACCAGTAAAAATTGATCTTGGTGGTAGGATCACACGCTCGTGGACTCAGGTGGAAGGGAAGAGTTCAGGAGTTGAAAGTAAAACAGATAGTCTCAAGGTTCAGGAAGTGGGTCAAGAAGTTCTTCAACTTGAAGAAACCTTTCAGGGCAAAAATCAGAAGTCACTGAGGCGGAAGTCTGCTGCACTTCTGAAGAAGAGTGTGGACAGTGATAACAATGCTGGCGAATCTATTGGATCTTTTCAGAACATAAGGAGGTCCAAACGGAACTTAGCTAGGGATGGAGACTCTGTATGTGGGCAATTGATAGAAACTAAATTTGTTGGTAGGAGAAAGATGCCTAAAATGGAGTTTGTGGGAAAATTGTCAGGCCAAGAAGAATGCAAAGTGGTTCCTCAACTTGAAGAACCATCAAAGGGCCCAAGTACAACGTCGAGGCGGAGATTTTCTGTGGTCCAGAAGGGCAAGGAATTGGCAAAAGGTGATACCAGAAAACGGCCAAGGAATACAGATTTGGAAAGAGCTTCCAAAGTTGAGCAAAGTGTAGAAACAATAGAACAAGGTGTTGTTCTCCTACCCAATGGTCCTTTAAGGAGGTCCAGACGCAAGACTACATTGTTTCCCTCTACTGATTCTGATGATATGAAGCTGAGAAATCATGAAGCCGTTGGAACAGTGAAGCAATCAACAGAATTAGTTGCTGTAAAATATTCTAATGTTACTAAGCCTGTAAGGCGGTCCAGTAGGAATGGTAGTGAAAAGTTTATAACAGAAGCCTTTGATGACAAGGGTGAAATTTCTGGTGGTGTTAAAAATGATGGGTTTGTGAAGAAAATTCAAGAGCCAACATTGGAAAACGGAAGTTCATATATTGTAAATGACCCTTCAAGTAAAGGGCCCCAAAGTCAATCCTCACGTAATGCATCCAAACGTGACTTTGTTGCAGTTACAGAAGTCATTGGTATAGCTGCTGGAAATAATACAAAAACTGAATCTAGGGTTCCAATTATAGCGGAGGAGGTTTTGTCTACTAATCTCAATTCACCCCTTGAAGAAAAAGTTGAAAAAGATATAGATGCTGGGTTGTATATTCCGGAATCTGCAGGATTTGAGAATGATGTTGGTTCTTCTAGCTCCAGCAAAGAAATTGTACAAAATTCAAGCAAGAAGAGGAATGATCAACCAAGAGGAGGGAATCGTTTGCAAAGGGGCAGCCTTCCTGTTTTGAAGTGTCTTCTCTATATCCTGACAAGGATAAAGCACTGGAAATCTTAGCGCATATGAAGGAAAATCATCCCTCAGAATCTGCAAGATTTCAAGGTATATCTCAAGTCCAAATGGCACAGGATGTAGCAATTAATACAGTGGACAGTGTTATGGTGGATGATGTCATCAATGATAACACTGCTGCAGGTTATTTGGATGATCGTTCTTGTCCATCATTGAACAGAGGTGATACTGGTCATGATAACTTCGTTAAACAAAACCCAGTAGACTGTCCATATAAGCCCATCAATGGGGGTTCTTCCAAATTTACCTGTCTTGGTGATGGTCAATCACCTACATCTAAACCAGATTGTGAAGGTAAGGGTATTAATGATGCTTTTGTTGAATGGATGTTATAATTAATTTTGGCGCTTAATGAGTTCGTCTAATTTGTAGGTGAATGTTCCAAGCTATTGGACTTGGAAACAGACGAGTCGTTGACTGTTGAGACGATAAACCAAAGAAATGATGGAGTGGATGAAAAACCCATAAGCAAATTTGAGTCATTCTCTAAAAGCTTTGAAGAAAATGAAAAACCTATAAGCGATGGCGAGCCAGTCTGTACGGATTCAGACGGCAATACTGCGGAAGCTAGTGCAGAGACAATTAGAGAATTCTATCAGGATGGAATCGTGGCCAGTGATACTGCAGTAACTTTACCAGCATTTTTATTAGTAAAGAAAGGTATTCCATGTTTCATTTTATAATTTCTTAATTCATTTTCATGCGTATGCGATGCTTCTGTTGTTAAATGGTTATTAATGAATCACAACATTTGAGCATAATTTCTCTATATCACTTTTATGCTATTGGTAATAGAAGCATTATTTACTGGACTTATACTTGCTCCAAAAGTTGTACAGCTCGATTAAATAGTTTTCAGTTGTAGTTGGTTGTGTTAACCAAACCCCTTTTATGCTGCGTTGTTTTCAGCTGGATGTGTAGATGGGAATCAGTTTGAAGCTCGAGTTACTACTGTAGGAGAAAGCAATATAAATTGTATTGGAAGGGAAGACTTTCCTAGTTATGCGAATGAACACCCTGATGAAGTAACTTCTTCCAAGAAGGTGATGCTCCCATGTGCTCATGAGAGGGCTAATGCTTTTGTGCGGGAAGATAATGAATCTTTTAAAGCATTAGATTTTGAACAAATTGTTGTTGAAGAGTATGCTAGTGAGGGCATTGAAAGAAACTCCAAGTTGGATGATGGTGTACTTGACAAGACAGATTGTCAGGTTGCTGAGGATAAGCAGGAGGTCTTTGTGGAAAGCAATGAAAATGTTTCTGGAAACATTAAAGAGAAACATGGGCATGACCTCTCTGGTGGTGACAGAACCAGTCCAATCGCCTTAGAAGAAAGTATTATGGATAAAGTTGGAAGCGACTCAAAAACTGAAGATAGTAAGGCCTTCAACAAACTCCCCCTTGTTATACTTTTTCTTTGTGTCAAGGAAAATGTCTGTCATAATTTATGTACGTATGTTTTCTTTGTTTCAGCTGCTGGTGAACTTGTTCAAAACTTTTCTTCCTTCGAGCTCCCTCATGTAATGAGCAAGGGTCAGTACATGAATTTTTCTCCAATACATGATATAAATGTTCTTGACCTTAAACTTCCACAACTAAGGTTCAGTTAAATTTTCTCTGTGGCCTTGATTACCAAGACTTGTGCTTTTACTTTTTTTCCCCTCTTTTATGATCATATGTTACAAATTCGTTAACTAAGTTGGAAACTCTATCTTTGACTTATTGGTTCATCCTTAGAACAGATAGAGGAGAAGCAGATGGACATTCTTTCTCATTTCCTAATCTTTAGGGCATTATGGACAATCATGTCAACTAAGTTAGAAACTCTATTTTTGATGTTATATATTGGTCGATCGTTAGAACGGACAGACGAGACTGATATTCTTTCTCATTTCCTAAAAATTAGTGTCAATTTAGTGATAGTTATCGAAAAAGTTATGCGATACTAATTATTATTTAATCTGCAGTAGGGGATCAACTTCAAGATAAATTCAAATTACCAGTTGAAGGCATAAATCTACATGAAAGAGATGAGGCATTGGTGCATGGAGACCAAAATTTATCCTTTAATTTGGTTGGTGTTCTGGAAGAGCACACATTGCAAGCTCGTACGAAAGTTTTTTCAAATCCTGAAAGTTCTATGGTTGCCATGATTGGCGAAACAGAGTCGGGGTCTATTTCTAGTTCTGACTTTGCAAAAATGCAAGATGTAAATGAGAACGAATATGAAGTTCCTTCAAGTACAGCGGTGTCTGTAGACAGTGAAGTTCTACAATCTGTTCTCCAACTGGATCAAGTGACTTGTGGTAATCCTGACATACACAAGAAAGCTTCTGAAGTAAAGAAGAGACGTCCTTCTTTGGCTTCAGAAGACTCTATGTACACAAATGACAATGCTAATAAGGATTCTAGTGGTGTTCTTGAAGAGCATGCAGTGGCAGCAAGTGTGAGGGGTTGTTCAAATCATGAAAGTTCTACGGATTCAAAGGTGGATGAGAGACAGTCAGGGTCTATTTCTAATTTTGATCTGGCAAAAATGCAAGATGTGAATGACAACAAGTCTCAAGGTCCTTCAAAAATGTTGTTGTCTGTAGATAGTGAAGTTCTAAAAAAGGATGCTTCTTTGGAGATGAAGAGATGTACATCCTTTTCTTCAAATGACTGTATCCACATGGATGACAATACCAATATGGATGGTAATGCTGGAATACTGGATAGTGCTGTAAATTATGGAAGTGCGAATTCAAAAACTGAGTCTAATTTAGATAATGTTGGTGATTGCTTGGTTGGAGGTGAACTGATTCATCGTAGTAGCTGGGGTCATGGCATTATTTTGAGCAACGACATTGAAAGTGACAGAGTGCCACAAATCGAAGCTGGCTTGGCTGGAACCAATGAGATAGCTGATACTTACAGTATTAGAAAAGTCAAACTATCTGCCGATAACTATTGTGCCAAACCTCAAATGCGTTCAGGTGGGGCCATTGTCTCAGTGTTTATTGTTTAATGATTCTTCATCTTTTAGTAATTTTTTTTTCAAGTTTGATTTTAATGGACATGGTCTAGCACTTTGTACATAAATATGAAGTTAGGTGATAATATGACATGCCGATTTTGGTTGGGAACAAATGAAGCTGAAATTTTGTCTGTAATGCTTTTTGTTTATTCTTATCATTTGTAGGAAATGACAGTCTAGATGAGGGTACAACCTTTCAAGAAGACAATGCTGTGTTAGAGAGTAAAGCAGAGACCGGTATAGTGGAGAAAGCTTACTTGGATACCATGAATAGCACGAATGTGGATATAAATGCAACTTTCAGAGAAAATGCTGAAGGGCTACCTGATTTCCAGAAAGGTATTGTAAGACTTGCTAATTTGACACATATCATTATTGCATAGTCAGAAGACTCAGAACCATCATTTATCTGATAATAGCAGACTAATGTTCTACCTAACATGTTAAAATGTTATGATGCCGATTATGAGAAGTGATGAGCTTTAAAACCTGAATATATTTTAGAAAATGCCTCTTCTTTATCCATTGTAACCAATTCCAAACATTTGATACTCCGGTTTTTTACCAGTTTCTTATTTAAATTGCCTTGAAGTTGAAATAAACCTGAATATATTTTAGAAAATGCCTCTTTTTTATCCATTGTAACCAATTCCGAACATTTGTTATTCTGGTGTTTTACCAGTTTCTTATTTAAATTGCCTTGATGTTGAAATGTTAGAATGACACGCTGCTTGATGATCTTGAATGAACTGGATATCATTTTAGCTTGATTTCTAAGTATAAACATGTAGATCTTGGATTTGCAGATAATAGGGCTTTAATGCATGCTGTTGAGTCTGAAATTTTCACTCGCTGGGAGATGAATACAGTATTTGGGAATGCAGAACAAGATGAAGCTAAAAAACCAGATGAAAAGCAACTTGCTAATGCTCCACTCACAGAAGAGCGTATTTTGGAAGTTAATGAAAGATGTAGGGAGCAAGATACTGCATCTGCTATTATCCAAGAGTATATTGATCGTGAGAAAGCTATGGATGAATATTTTGAGGTCAAGAGTTCTATCGATTCCACCTGCAAAGCAATATTCACTGAAGCTTCTAGGACTGGCGACTCTGTTTATGCTGGTTTAGATAAATGCAGAAATTCAGGAGTTGAAGAGGGAGCTTGTGTAATGACCAGTGGTTCAGAAGGTTCCGATATGGCGTTTACTGAACGGATGGTCGAGTTTTACAAGAATGTCCCTGCTTTGGGTGTTTGCATTGATGTTGCAAATGGGAGATCAAATGAGGTTTCAGAAACTCCATTGCAATTAGATGAATTCAATTTTGGAAGCGTTGGAGAGCTGGATAAACGTGCTTCTGTTGCTTCAGGTGATTCGATATCCACAGATGACGAAACTGCAGAAAGAATAGCAAATGTCGGGAAGATGGAGGTTAAATCTAGCTGCAAGGAGTGTCCTTTCAGGACTGACAATAGTGAAGCTGATGGTACTGAATTCTTGTATGGCCATAGAAATGGTGAAGTTGGTTCAAATGAAGTTGATATTAGAACCGTGAGAGAAATAATTGGTATTCAGAATGTTGATGATGCTACTAAGTTAGTAGAACTTATGTCGGATGGTGGCAATTTATCAGAAGAAAGAAACTCATTAGATGTCAATTCATTTTCTGTCATTTCGTCTAGCATGGATAGTTTTGGGCCAGGTAAGCGTACTTTCTGAACACACCATGTTTCACTGCCCTGTGAGTGGTCTTTGCTTTGTGCTTCTGACATTCTGTTGAACCTTATCTACTGATGAATTATCATCTAATGAACACTATATGATAATAGTTGTTTCGAATTATGTACATTTAAATTATTTATTGTAGCTATTCTACTCCTCTTGTCATTATTTAGAGTGTATTGCAGTCAATTATCTATTTGTATTAGTATTTTCTTTATCTTTTTCTGTACTGATAATGCAAACATTTTAATATCTAAACCGCATGATG